ATGTAGGATTTTGTTAAAAAAAAGTGCTTCTTGTTTCCAGGAGATAAGAGAAGTATTTTATGAATACAGTTAACTACAGCAATTAAATACAAAGGGAAATTAAATGCTGTGGCTGGAGTACTAGGTATTTTTCTGATGCTGGATGAATTAAAAAGGGTTATTTGGCAAGTGTTGTTCTGGAAGACACTACAGACATAGTACAGAAAACTGCATAAAGGACATAAAACTCCTTCCTTTATCATAATATGTAGAAAATCAGGAGTGGAATGTGCTCATTTTAGAGCAAACAAAACTAAGTGTGAGATCTGGAGGCAGCTGTGAGTCTTAAAAAGCCATGTAATTTAGGGAGTGAGTGGGAGGTGAAGGGCGCTGCGTTCCAGGGGAGGGTTTGTAGGGGAATAAATGTTTGTGTAGTATTTCAGTTTGTGCCTGTCAACGGTAAAATTCCTTTCACCTTTACAGGCTGCAGAAATACCAGTAAAGAAGTGGCAGGAAAAGGCAGTGCTCAGCATGGAGTGCCATGAAAGAGACTCCTTGGCTTTGTCACTGGAAGCAGTGCTGCTGTTCTGGGGCAAATGGCAGAACTGGAAGAGAGGGACAGACCCATGAACAATCCAACAGAGGCTGTTTTCTCTGGCAGGGCAGCCAGAATTTCAGTGCACAGTCCTGTTAAACCCTTTACAGAGTTTGCTGTAATGAAGTGTCACCGACAGCTCTCCTGTTTGCTTTTGTTTCCTCCTCATTTTCTCCTCTCTGTCAGTGTCTTAATCTCTCTTTTACCTCAGCTTGCTCCTTTTCTGGTTCTCACTTGCAGGCCTTGTTAGCTGCAGTGTATCAGTGGGTTTTGGATCAGTCCCTTGGGTTCCCGTTTGGAATTAGTGCAGTGCCTGCTGTGACAGATGAATCCTCTGATGTTCACCAGCCCTGACCATTGGGGAAATGAGCTGATGAGTACAAAACTGTGAGCAACACCAGAGGATTTCCTGGCCCCTCTCCCTGGAGGGTACAAAGAGCACTGGTGGCAAGGATGGGTTTTCCATCGTCTGTTTGTGTGTGGTCCCACTGCTGTTCTCTGTTAGGCTTCGAGGGCGGGTGGGAAGTGGAGGAGTAACATATTGTCCCTGGATTCCACACCCTTACACTTTTAGTTTTCCAGGATCACAGCGCTTTTCAGTTCTATTTTCACTTACATTTTACCCTTTTGGTATGTTTGGGCTTTGCTTAATGCTTGTAAAACCACGGGCATCAACATAATAATGTTGGGTGCTGTGGAGGAGAAAAAATTAATTGCAGGACTCCAGAGGCAGGAGCTAAGGATGGGAGCACAGCTTTTGTTTTGCCAAACCAATGTTTGGGAGGTACCATCCTGTTGTCAAATCCCTCTTTGTGGCTGTGGAGAACTTAAATATCTAGGGAATGCCAGGGCTTAGTTACAAATCCTTTCTAAGACTGCTTTTCTTTTATATAAGCAGATGGAAACTGGTTTCAGGGGAGGGAACTTCTTAAGTTTTGAAGTCCCGAAGAAAATTAATTAATTCATGTATTTGAAAGCCAGAGGGGAAGTATTATGATCATCTTGTCTGACCTCCTTCATAACTTGGGCCAAGGGAAGTCTCCTAATAACCCCTACACGAGCTCACTGAAGCGTGGTTGAAAAGACAAATGATTTGACAGAAATTGTTGTTTCACACGCATGTGGGGGAGGCGAGTGGAGCTTGGGACTAATTTCCCCGTGCATAAAGGGTCCAACCTGTGTTAATCCTAACTGCAAAGTGAATTTACAGAAATACTTCTGTGCTAAGGCTTTAGGTTTTTTGCTGGCGTAGGAGTAATAGAGAACACAGGCTTAAGAACTTCTCCTGGAATTAAGAGCCAGTTAATTCCAGAATGCGCTGATTGTGTTCCTGCTGTAGCCACTTAATAAGGCCACAGAAAATGTCAGTATTTTGTTAAAACGAAGAGCTCAGAATCCTCTTTAAGAAAAGCTGAGGCATGCACATGACATTGCAATAGCTGGAGCAGTAGCAAGGCACACAAGGAGATTGTTAGAGTGGATGGATACGTGCAAGACGATGGATTTTTTTAAAGTTTTGGGGTTTTTTTGGAAACACAGCTAACAAAATTTTGTCTTTAGAGCAGGGAGAGAAATGTGGCAGAACTGATCAAAGCAAATAGCATCTCATTGATAAAACACATGCTGCAGTACTTCCCACAGTTGGGAGGCTGTGGTATTTAACAACGGTGACCTAGATTGGAGGAGACAATGAAAGCTGTTGCGGTGAGGAGCAGATTGACTGCCATTCTCATCTGGGTAATAAACGGCTGAAATATGGACAGTGCATGAAAGTTTACTAATGTGGCTTACGTAAAGACCTGCACTTTTGGAGGAATTGTCTCTGTAGCAAATTCAGTTTGAGCTATAGCTGGTGCCTGACAGATGTTTATGTGCTCCTTTACAAAGATACCTACTACTTTATTCAAGAATCTATGAGCCTGCGAGAGTATGACCTGATTAGGTTTGAAAGTAAATCAATATGTGAACCTGTCCAAAAACAGACATGCATTTATTTTAAAAAATATTACTCAGTGGGATAGCCTCGAGGGGATATAGCTTTTCTGGAGAGTTTCAGATGAGATAGCAGTCATATGTTGTTACTTTAAAATATTCAGTGCCATTCAGATGCTACTATTTCAGCTGTCCTGTTGGAAATAGCTGACAACAGGAGATGACATTCCTGATGCTTTGTAGTCACAATGGCCTTCTAAGACATTAAAACTTGCTTAACTATGGACCCCAGGGATATTTGGTATTTATTTTTAATTTATTTTTTTAATAAGTGGGCCTATTATAAATATTTCCCTTTTGTGAAGTGGCTCATGTTAGTGCTCCTTGTAGAGTTACGCAGTTAACCTTTGGGTAAATATAAATCCAAATTCTGAAAAAATAAACTGTCAATCCAGCTGTGACTCGAGAGATGCTTTAAGTAAGTGCCATTGAGCTGTAAAGGCTGATGCATCCCTACTGTGCTGTAAAACTAAATATTATTAAATTGGGTTGCAGGCAGGGGGAGGGGAAGGAGATGGGGGTTGTGAGGGACATCTGTTCTGCTCAGAGCTCCTCTCCCTGCTCGTGGCGGGATTTGAAGCGTGAGTGAGGAGGGTGAGGGCATTCCCCCCAGCACTGCTCCAGCAGCTGTGCTTGGGGAGAGGCATCTCCCTGTCCATGGACCTGGCCAGAGAACCCCTGGAAGCCTCACTTTGGGAGCTGTTCCCTCCCTGACCAGCCTTCATTTGCTTTGTCCTTTCCTACTCTTTTCTCAGCTGGGAAGATTCATCGAGATGCTGTTGGTTTATTCAGGTTACACCAAGCAGGTGTGTTCAGCAAGCGCTGCAACTTCAATTTGCGCCTTGCTTTATTTTTTTCCCTCCTTTTTTTTTGCCATGCGGTGCTTATTCAGATTCCACAGAGGGGGGAACAGGGAATTTTGTATTTCAAAATCAGTTCAGCAGATTTTGAAAAGCTATCTTTGAATATTCTATAATACACAGACAGATTTGAAGAGCTTATTAAAGAAAGCCCCTGACACACTTCAGCAATATTAAATCACTTCAGACGGTGCATGGCAGTGTAATGTTACTGAAGCATTTTAAAATGTTAAAAGAGCCTGAATTTGAAAGTACTGGTGGCTTCACAGCCCTTACTGTGAAAAGTGATTTAAAGTGTCAAAATTATTCCAGTGTTTACAGTCTGTTACTTTCTTACATGACAAAGAAGGGACATTAGTAAATAACTCTAACTGCAGTTAATCTCTGGCCATCTAACCAGCTGATATGCTGGGTTACTCTCTTTATTAAATGCTTATTTAATAAGTGGGCAGCTGTTCCAACAGGCCAGATGGACTTCTCTGTAATTGTGCTAATAATGAGAACTTTCTCACAAAAAGAAAGGGCAGTAAGAAGATGCATTTGGTGAGGGAACATCCTGACAAATGGCTTCAGGACAGTCTGGTCCTCTGCCCTCGACAGACTGGCTCAGTAAGTGGTTCATCCCTCAAAGCAGGAAGGACCAGCAGTGAGAATTGGAGCAATGGGTTCTTTTTGGCTTAGATGTTTATTCTTTGTGTGTTCTTTGCCTCCAGAGCCCTGATATCCCCAGTCCTGCCTCCCTTGTCCTGCTCCAGCACATTCCTGCTGTGGGTTCACACCTGGTGCATTTTTGTCCCCAACAAATACACAGCTTTCTCCCTGAATGTTATCTCTCTAGAAGTTACCTTTTTGCACCTATCCATTTATATTTCATGGGTTTAGTTAACTATTTTCAGAGGTCTTTGCAAGAAGGATTACTAGATGGGTGTTAAAATTACAGTTTTGTTTGTGTGGAGACAGAGTCTTTTATACTGGAAACATTATCATAAACAAGAGGAGTGGCAAAGTATGATGTTCTCAGCATGAGCAATGAATACATTTTTCATTTGTCTTTGTTCAAGCAGGAGAATGAAAGCACTGAAAAAGAATTAGAGGAGTAAAAGTCTGTACATGCTCTCTGGCAATATGGAATTGGTTCATTTAAGAATTGTGTCCTGGCAGATTTTATTGCTTTTGGTGACATTTCCAGCTGCTTCCTGCATTGTGGTCTCTGTCCTCCAGCTGCTGGTCCAGAAGTGCTGGTCTTCTCTACACCCTGAGCAGTGTCTCTGGGCTGTGAAGGCATCTTGGATATGCCAAAACACCTCAAATACAGATGTTTGAGGTAGTCACAGATAACTATGCTTAAGCATCTAAAATCATGGACAACTGGCTCAGTAGATGGAGAACTTAATATGTTCCTCCCTTGCAGTGCTTTGGCTTTTTTATTTTCCTTTCATGTTTTAAACCCAGAAAATGACTGTTCTTTTTTGTTTCCTTCCTTTACAGCACTCGAAAGGAGTGAATGAGATGAACTGTTTGGGTTATAGTATCTGAAAGGCTAAATTATTTTCTGGGAGAGACGTTCTAAATGAGCCTGACCGAGATCCTGGATCTGTGTGAAGAGGACTAAGGATATAGGATGTCAACTGAGACAGAACTTCAAGTGGCTGTTAAAACCAGCACAAAGAAAGACTCCAAAAAGAAAGGTAGTGGCTCATTTCTCTTTATTTGTGTGTGTTTTGTACTTTAATCAGCTCCTACATCAGCCACCTTCGGCACGTCTGTGGCTCTTCTGTTATCTGTGTGCTCAGTGAAAGTGGGATTTGTTAAGCTCAGTGGAAGTCTGGTAGAGAAATATGGGGTTTGATTCTCTGACATAAGAAATATATCCTTTTGAAATATGAGAAAAACTTTGCATATTATTTATGGTTCACAAAGAGAAATACTGTTTTTAAAATTACTCAACAAAAGATCACTTTTCTTTTTCTCTGCTGATAAACACATTTTCTTCTAATGCCTTTTTTTCTGCTTTCTTTTGAACTAACCAGAACACAAATGCACTTTCTGTTCCTGGAGTTTGAATTTTACTGACACTATGTGAAGTTAGACAACTCAGTGGCAATCTGTGGAAAGATTAATTAATCTGTTAATCTGGTATATGGAAATATAAATGAGGAGTAAGAAAATGCAAAATTAAGGAGAAGCTGTGGAGAAATGATGGTTGATTAGTTCATATTTGTATTTACAATTTTGCCTCAGACTGCAGAGCAGTTCCTTGGAGTGATAAGTGTGTGAAATGGGACCGTATGAATTTGGTGCTTATCCTTGCTTAAGATTTTTAGTAGGGATTTTTCTCCTTGCATTTTTATTAGTATTTTTATTGCTTATGGTTTTAAGTACTGAGGAACTTGGAGTCCAAGACCTTGAATTCTCATAGTGGTTCTTATTGCTCTGTGTAGCCATATTTGGTTATTTTTTAAATGTACACATGAAAGTGAGATTGAAAACAGATTTAATATGAATTACTCAAATAAAAAAAATAAAACAGAAAATAATAATACTTAATAGTTTTAATACTCAACACAGCAAGATTTGAACTTTCCTGTGAGCTGTAGAGTTTGTCATTCTCTTCCTTTCTGTGGATGTGTAATTTAGCCATTTACTTCGAGGGTTTTTTCCATTTTTCTAAGACAAAAAAGAAATCTCATCTTTGCTTATCTATGTATAATGCAATTTTACTCATGTATAATGCAACTTTATAATGTATAATGTAAATTTTACTCATTTACTCAGTTAACTTGAACTGCTGGGCAGCAATACCATTTACTGCAGCAATTCTACCAAAACATTTACTAAGGCCTTGTGTTCCCTTTGGCTTTTGTATCAGAAATCTTTATCCTAGAGTTTGTAGAAAACACAGCAATTAAAAAATTTCAAGTGTTTGTTCAGGAAGACAGTTTAAAAACCTTATGACTGCTCTAGGCCTACACTCACAATTCAAAAATGATTCATTTAAGATAAAAAAGCTCCAGTCTGGAAAGGCAAGAAAAGGAGAACTTTGATGTAAATGAGAATGTGATCTAAGATGTTTAAGGCAAATAAAGTGGTTTGGTTGTATGATCATTCCGTTTTTGGGGGCAGGCAGGAAATTAAAAAATGTCATTTCTTTGCAGTATGGATAACATCTTTTTGATGTGTGTCTCCTATGTTATTTCTTCTGCTGGAGGCTGAAACTTTTGAAACAGCAAACAACTCTTTTTAGGAACTTGATGTTTATGTTAATAAAATATTCAGCATTCTACTTGTAAAGACATTTCATAAATCCCAATAGCTGAGCACTTCTCTGCCCAAAATCTGATTCTATCACCCAAATGGAAATTCTGAAAATTACCTTCAGTGCTGGGGGGGAGTATAAAATATGTTGTGTGGCAGTGATGTGAGTGTCTGGAGAGCTGGAAGGGACAGGGAATGGCAGTGGCACGTCCCCAGGGTTACTGTGGCTCGGTGCTGTCTGTGCAGTGAGTGCATCCATCCCATCAGCCAGCCCAGGGCTGGGGCAGTGAATGCTTCACGCAGACAAGGTGCACAATGCACACACTGTGTGCTATTCAAATCCCGCAGAACCAGAGTCAAAAGAAACTTGGTGTGCTCATTTACTTGTCATTGAGTTGTATGCACTTCCCTGTGTTCCAACAAAGGAGCTCTCCTCTGTATAGTGGGAGTGATGGACACGTGAAAAACAGGGATTTTTTTTTCCTTTTTTTTCCCAAGTTCATTAACTGCAAGCAGTGGCAGGTAGCAAGTGCTAACATGAAGTTTTTTATGTTGTTAATCAATGAGTTTGATTATGCAATGAAACTGAGTATTCCCAAGAAATCAGTCTTTGCTGTATAAACAGAAATTTCAACTCTGGTGTTTTTTATTTTTTCAGCTCTGGTGTTTCTTATTTTCTCAGCTCAGTGTTTTGTTGCTCTTCTGGAAGAGCCATGCATCCCTCCCCATCCAGAGCAGGGCAGACCTCCTTTGCTGTATTATCCATTGTTTTGGTAGTTCTCCTGCCTTCTGCAGCTCGCAGCACTGCATGGAATGTCTGTCCCACATTTGTATCCCACTCTGGAGGTCTGGGGTGACTCTAAGGGGATGAGGATTAGTGCGGAGATGGAGCATGGGACTGGGTTCTTTCCTGGTCTCAGCCTAAATCTTCTGTGTAGAGTCAGCTAAATCTTTAGTTCTCTTCATCTGTGTAAACATCCAGTAAGATGGTGTTTCTTATTTGGAGTGTTGAAATAAAACAAAGCTTAATTCCTAGGATTTGTAAGGTGTGTGGATATAAAGCAGTATAAAGTGTCAGATAAATGTGAGCAGCTCTTCTTACTGAGGTACAATGTCCAAAAAGAAAGCAGTGACTTGTACATTTGTGGTAATAGTGCCTACCTTGAGTTAAAGCCACTGTGATGTCAATAGTTAAAAATTTAATAACCTGGATAGGTTAGGAAAAAAGTCCAGGAGGAGTTTAATGATATTTAGTGAGTGCAAATGCAAAGTCTAAGTAACTCCATGCCAGAATGGTGGAATGTGTGGTTGAAGTTTCTCTAGGATTTCGTATAGCTTCTTTTGGGCTCTGTTGCATAGACTGCTGACTTTTGGGTGACAGGGAAATAGTTTGATTTGTGCTGCAGATGGGGCAAATGACAATGCCGGTGCAAAGATTTTGCCAAATATTTCTTTGATGTGCTGGGAACACACAGAAAACTCTTTCTGTAGTCACATGCAGAGCAGTTCCCTTTGGAACACTTCTCTTAGGCATGGTGTTTCTACAGCCATGAGCTTTGTGCTCATAGCCAGCTCTGCAGTGTCTCCACTGTTCATCTGAGCTGGTTTGTGAGGCAGTGTCAAGAACTTAAACACAAAACCCTCTCAGAAGCTGCTGTTTGCACAGAATCACAGCTGAGGGGCTCTGATGTTCTGCGGGTAAGTTCAATATTTACACGATCATATCAGACTGTAATTTTGTATGTTAACATTATCACCCTGGATAACCTTAAAAGCAGGCTATTGAAAAATCAGGTACACATTTTCCTTTCATTCAGCCCATATTGATCTGATGGATCCAGGGCTGGGTGAGCTCTAGAAGTGCTTCCTGGTCACACTCCTGGCAAGGGGTGTGGAATTTTAACTGACCTGGAAATACCATTATGGGAGCAGAAGTGAGTCGGGCACTGTTGTGATAAGGCACGAAATGATGACACAGACACTGCTGCTCTCGAGGGGAACAAAAAGAAGCACCTTTATTTTCTGACTCCAACATTTATAGTTTTCCAAAGGTGACAGTGGATTGGAGGGTGACAGTGCCACCTCTCCAATGCCACTGGACAGACCAAGGGTTCATCAATTCTTTCTACCTCCATGAAAGAATGCAAAACATAGGTTATTTACAGAACTGTGTGTGAGAAAGTTTGTTGAAAGAATGTAAACATCAGAAGGCTTAACAAAGTCTTACAAAATCAGGGTGACAGGGCACCTCCCTTCCTCTCCAGATTGTCACTTTTTCCTCCCTGTGCTGAGAAGCTCCTTGTCCCTTGTGGTCCAGTGTTTCACCCTGACCTCCAGAGCCCTCCTTCCTACACTTTGTTCCATTTTACAGGCTTACAGTGCACTAGGTGTTATTAGAGGAGATTATATTTCTGCCGTCCCCCACCTCCAGCCCTAATCTTCATGCCACTCTTGCTGATATCTGCTGGTAACTTCATTGTAATTATCTTTTTTGCTCACATTTTAAAAGATATCCTGGAGAGGTTTCATGTTGCTCTCTAAATGGAAATGGTGAAAAATTCTCAGGAGATTTAGAAAGCTCAATTTGAGGACATTTTTTGGTGATACAATCTTTTTTTGGTGAGTTTGCTAGAAGTCGTGTTCTTTAATAAATGTTTAGAGAATTAATGATATAACTAATGCTCTTAAATGCTGATGTTATTTTATTTGTTTATGTCATCTGGTTCATTAAGAAGAGAATAAAAATTGTGTGTTTGTATTGTTCAGGATAGGAAATTAAAGTATTTTTATTAGCCAGAGTTGTTAGAAACATAAACCATGTTTGTCTTGTAGTACATGGGGGAAAAGCCTTGTTGTAAGTGTGTATAGATTATTGAATCAAATTGAAAACATTTACTTGAGCCTATCGGAATTAAAATTGATTATAAACCTCTCTGGGGAAAATGTGTTGCATTGATGTTGAATTCACACTCATAACTGCCTGGGAAAATCCCTTCTTGCAAAATTAGCTGAACAGGAAAATTGAAGTAGGAGGTCAGTAAAGAAGTGAGCCAGGCTACCAAATTTTAGCACAGATATGGGTCTGCTTAGGGTAGGCCAGGGGACTTTCCTAGAGATTTAATCTCTTTCTCTTGCACTTAAATTCTGTAATTTTTCTATTTGAAGCTTAGGGCTTGTTCTGCAATTCCATCTCTCAGCGTATCCCCGTTGTATGATTCCTGAGTCAATTTTCAAAATGACAGGGACTTGTAAAGAATGGAAGCACATTCAGAGAGGAGCTTGGGCACGTTGGCACTCAGCATGATGGTGGTTGATGCTCGGGTCCCCTTGGGTGAGATTTCCTTGTTTATTGGGTTTCCAGAGCGTGTGGGAAGCACGTGGCATCTGGGAGCAGCTCAGAGCAGGCAGGGAGCCAAGCTGGGGATTGCTGCAC